ACTCAGTAAAGGCAGAAATTTGATCTTAACTGGGCTCCCTTCCTTCATGCCCAAAAGGCAAGTCATGATTGTAATCTCTGTAGTTAGGCCTCAGAAAAAAATGCCACATTTTTGTGTATGTGACATTGAGCAAGAAAAGTAGTGTCAGTTTCTTTTGTGAAATGGAAGTGATGATAATAATTTCATGTAGTTGACATGAAGTTCTTAATACTTCATATGTTATAGTTGTATATGTATATACAACTGTTAATTGTTGATGATGAAGCAAATGAACCAGGCTAGAGTATGAGACAGGATGTTTCCAGGAGGAGATAAATCATTTTCCCTAGGATCATGACATATTGTAGATCAACTTGAAATAAGACTTTCATGAAATGCCTCCCCCGCCCACTAAAAAGAAAAACAAAAACAAAAAACCAAAACAACCAAGTATGATTCTGGCTAATGTTAGGTTCAATATAGAAGTATGTTCCATGATCAGAAAGCAGAGTGTGTGTGTATGTGTGGTGTGTAGGTGTTCTCATTTCTACATGGAGGCCAGAGGTCAATGTGGTGGTCGTTCTTTGCTGCTGCCGCTGCTGCTGCTGCTACTACTACTACTATTATTATTATTATTATTATTATTATTATTATTATTATTATTATTATTTACTACTACTTGAGATAGTCTCTCACCATGAAACAGGAGCTTACTGTTTGGTTTAGGCTGGCTGCTCAAGTAAGCCCTGGAATATTCCTGTGTATACCCCGCCCCACCTCCATTTCTGAAATTTCGGCTTATGGGCCATCTTTTACCTGCATGCTTGGGGTATAAACTCAGGTCTTCATCATGGAAAAAGCAGTTAATTTACTGGGCCATATCTCAACCTCATCAAAAAACTTTTTTTTTTTTTTTTTTGTTTGTTTCTTTTTTTCCCCCTGGTATAAACTCAAAAATCATGAAAAGTAATTGCCACAAAGACACTGTGGATCTTTTTGTTGGTGTTGCACTGTCACTGAAATTTTAAAGTCTGAGCACTTCTCATGTGTTCTGTTGTCAATGTTATAATATGCCACCTTATAACTTATGCAATGTAAAATTGCTCGTGGCTCTTTAAAGTTTAATATTCATAGTCCTCTAAAGGAAGAATTTATCTTTTTCCTTTTCCCAGAAGAAGAAACTATTTACAGAGTAGTCATGTCTCAGATGGGGCTTCTATATTTTAGGCACTCATCAAATACTGCTGAAAGGGTGACTGACTTGCCATGGCCAAACAGCTGACCTTGGTAGGAGCAAAGTGCAGATCCGCCTTCCTCACTTCCAGCAGTTTAACGCCCGCATCTCTCTCTGTGTACGCACCATCTCCACAGCTACCCAGGGATTATACAAGTGACTAAAATGCTTTCTTCTAAATAGTATGGCAGTTGTTGCTGGTCTTGTCAGACTTGTCGGCAAATTATTACCCATGTCGCCTATCAAAATCAAGAAACAAATCTAAGAAATTGCATAAAGGCAACCACAAAAATATACATATTTTATAAATTCATTTCTAAATATAAAATAGTAAAGGTTTTGAAATTCTGAGCTCTTTACCTTAGTTTTGTAGTCTTCCGTTATAGGCCCTCTTCTTTTCCTAATGAGGAAAAAAGTTTTGTCTAACTGATAGTTTCAGAAGTGTCAGTTCATGCATGTCACTTTGGGGTATCTGGCAAGGCAATATGGTGGGAGGGATAGAGAGGGAGGAAAAGGTAGAGAAGCAGGATCTCAACGTGCCCTTCAAGGAGAGACCTCCTATATGACACGACTTGCTTCCTGGAAATAGCCCTGCCTCCCAAAATTTCTACCACCCCAAAATGACACCAAGCCTTCAACACAGGCGTCTCTGTGTTCACAGCTCAGATCAAACTTTAATACCTTGTCCGAGGACTAGATGAAGAGAAATTCCAAATTTGAGATTTTTCTGGAGCCTGCTGTGTGTGTAGCTTGCTTGGAATGGTCACACTCTGGTGGATTCCTGGGCCTTTGTCTCTGCCTGCAACATTGTTGGGAGGCTATGTCTGGTTTTCAGTGTAAGGAAGGGCTTCAGCAGTTGAAATGTCTCCTCCCTTGTCTCTGCTTTGAGCCCAGGGGAGGAAGGATCTTGTTCACTCAACCTGTCACACTTCTCTCATACTGAGCCTTTTGATAGGGCCAGCACATGGCCTTTTAAAATGGCCTTTGTGTGCTAGTGTCTCAGCTTTGGCATAGCTGAGCCCACTCTTCCAATTGAAACAGTTGCTTTTGTTGTTGTTTTATATTGGGCTTTATTGATTCTTTTCTTCACAATTAATCTTTAAACTGGCTCCTCCTTTGCTTTGTTTCAGGTGGTTGGAATGTTCTAGGGTTCCAACTTGATCTTTCTATTTTTCTCTTAGCAACCTCTTTCCTCACATGATTTCATTTGGCACAAATCTCCCATATGCCTGCATGCTGCTGACTCTTCTGCTCTTATATCTCTGACTTGGCTGTTTTGTTTCCTTGTTGTCTTTTAGTTTTTTGTTTTCTTGGAGAGAATGGAGTCACACATAGCCCAGGCTAACCTCAAACTTGCCTTGTAACTGAGGTTGACTTTGATCTTCTTGCCTCTACTTTTTAAGTCCTGAGTCTACCTTTTCCTTGGCCTTTAATGCTTACATTTACCTATACTGTATGTACTATTGAAACTTCTTTTTGTCTTTCTAGTATGCACTCAAACTTAACAAATCTAAAACTTCACTCTCAAATTTTGTACCGAACTTTTTTTGTTAAATAAAATTCCATCTTTCTGTTTGCTCAGACTGGAAATCTTCAGGCTGTATTTTTCTCTTGCCCTCCGTCAGCTAATTGTCCATCTTCTGCCTCTAACCTGTATTCTATATTTAATATTCTTACCATTTCTCCTTCTATTCCTCACTTCTTTTGTGGATTAATCTATTCGCCTATCTTCCCCATGCCTAGTCTTTTCTCTCCATAGTTAGAGCACACAGATAAATCTTACGTAGTTGGAAGTGGAAGTTAGCTCTTAGCATTTTCCTCTTTAAACCTCCCAGTAGCCTTCCTATGCAGTGACTATGCTGATCGCTTTTGATTTATGCTAACCTCAGTTTAAAAGTCTTTTTTTTCTTGGAGATGCCTTCTCAACTGTTCTTTTTACTGGGATTCTCCTACTTCTTTGCTATCTTGTATCTTATAGTCTGTTTTACTTTCTTCATAGTACCCAGCACTCTCCAAAATTACTTATTTATTTACTTCATTTTTGTCTCATTTATTAGAAATGTTAAGTTTCATGAAAGCAAGGAGCATATTTTTCTGTTATTTCTCACTATTTCTCTAGCAACTAGAATTATATTTTGAATATAGATTGGTATACAACAAACTGTATCCTCTCTCCCTTGCTCCCCCTCCTCCCAAATGTATCTTTTTAGTTTTTGATTCTAAGATCCTGTTTATCCTTCAGATATCAATGTGTGTGTGTGTGTGTGTGTGTGTGTGTGTGTGTGTGTGTGTGTGT